TACTGTGATCTGTTCCTGTGCCTAATACAGGAGTTAACGCATGTGAAAAACTTCTCATAACAAACATTTTTAGTTATCTATATTTTATAATTACTTGTTGTAACAATTACTCTACTCATAATTATGTATAATTTTCATGAAGTTCAGGTTAAATAAGAGTGATATTTTTGGCTTCTCTTTCTCTTCTCTTTTTTGTTTCTCATTTAAACTTGATATATAATTTTTGTCGTATTTCTCTTAGCAAGTTCACATATTTTGTTCAAATTAATAAAAATGCGAAAAGCACACTTCACATGTTCATGTATTTGATGTAGCAGTTAAATAGTTGAAATACACATTTTACACGGGGTCCGAGCGCAGCCCAATGGTTAGCGCCAGGAAGTGGAACTGCCCGTTTCCCGCCCCTATACTATTAAAATCGAAATTGTGCTCCGAATTTTGGGTCTTAGATGTGTTATAAGAGTGGTGATCAAATCCAACCGTTTAGTCTGGCAACCAGGATCTGGTGGTGGGTGGTGTTGAATAGCTGTCTTCACTCTAGTCTATCACTTCAAAAGTAGGAACGATTGATGCAGGTAGCTCTCGTTTAGCTCTGCGAGAAATCTAAGAAACGAACAAACATCATCCAAGTTCACATGCTTAATCTTGTAGCTGCGTAGCTGAATCACATACTTAACATATTTATATGTTTGATTCAAGGATTACGTAGTTAAACTAACACAATAATTATCGTGAACACATCGTCCGTAGATATTACCAACAAGTCCAAGAATTGTTGTTGAGTCAAATAGCCTCCATCAATGGTGTAATGGTAAAACGTTTTGTGTCACGTAATATATATATATGGATGTAGGCTGCTTTCACGCATTTAATTTGTTTTTAATTATTAGCTACTTATCCATTAAGTTTATATAATCAACTGATTCATAAAAATACAATTTACACTATAAAATACTATATATATATATGTATCATTTTAATTCATTCATCAATTAAATATACTTATTTTAATCACAAACTACAAGAGTAGCTATACAGCCCCACTACACCACTGGTCTCAAACCATTTCACATTTAACATAATAATGTCTATACGGATAACGAAAACAAATACAATTAAAGCTCAGCCCCCATGACTAAGCGGTAAACTTGAAGACTTAAAATATTAAAAACGACCCTTGCGGTAGCTACAATGCAGACAGCTCATTGTGTAGCTTTGTGTTTAAACAACAAACAAACAAGTTAAAGCTCAGCAACCATTTCAGAGTAATACACAAACAGTATAAAGGCTGTAATTCCAGAAAATTGAGGAAGTCTGGTTATAAAAGCGTTTTATTACTTTGTACACATTCGTCAAAATTTAGTAAAATTAAGCAACCTATGTTATAGCTAATTTAAATAGTTCGTGCAAAGGCATATGGATTTAATGTTACGAAACAGGTTTCTTATAATACACTGAAAGAATTAAATAGAAGAGAAAAGAGGGTTGAATTGTAAGAAAAATTACAAACCAGGTTGTAACTTAATGGCAAATGTATATATATATTTCTGAATATTAGGCAAACTGAGCAAGTTACGTCGTACGATAATTTTTTCAACATATGTATATATAACATACATAGGTCGAACTGATTGTCAATTAAAACTGTATTAACCAACAAATGCATAGTCTATTATATGAATCATACTAGACACAGACGTAATGAGCAACTATTTTATGAGAAAGTCAGAATGATGAATGTAACGATAGTATTCTATATTTATCAAATCGTCCATCAAAGTCTTATTTTCCAGCAAACGCGTTTTTTAAAACAGCTAATTTGTTACCTTTTTTGTAATTTCATCACTTATTTTTTGTATCTTTGTTAGATTATTAATTATTCTCACTTCTTATGAGTTATAGCGAAACGATTTTACGTTAAGGAAGAAATACTAGCCTACAGATTTTACGTTTAGGGAGATGTATTAATATACAGATTTTACGCCAAAGAAGAAAGACCGGCGTACAGATTTTACATTAAGGAAGAAATACTAGTATACAAGTTTTACGTTAAGGAAGAAATAGTAACGTAAAGATTTTACATTAAGGAAGAAAGACAACAATGGTTTGTGTTATAATCACATTTGTTAAAAGTAAAACTACGACTTTTATATATAACTTACAAACAACCCTTAATAAAACAGAATCGTAGACTGTTTGGAACAATATCAATATTATTTGTTACAATTTTATAGGGTTTTAGATTCGTTTAGTTTTAAAGGTGTATTTTGAAAATGTTGCAGTTCAGAAACTTCTCCTTTTCACCAACATACATCACTATAGCAACACACTGATTAAGTTTTTTAAAGCATTGTATAGATTATAGACAATGTTTAACATAATCGTTTACACAGAAGTTTCGAAAGACACAAAATTATTATTTAATAATCGTAACAACAGACGTATTTTACTTTAAAACCGCGTGTGTGCAAACCATGTGAACTATCGTCTGTACGTGACTGCAAAGTAATACATATGAATGAGTGTTGAAGATGTAGCTTACCAACGAACGTGCCTCAACTTCGTTGTCACTTTACTGTGAGCATAGACGTAATGATAACAGCTGTCCTAAAGACATATCTTCCGTGTAGATGTATGCAACTTGGCAAATCACTGCAATTTATATACGTTTTTGAAATGAGACTTCAAAAATGGTTGAGTATGCATGAATACATACTTAAAAAAATAGCCGCACAGATATTCACACTATCATTATGTTATGTTACAGACTTTCAAATTTCTTTTATGAATTTTCCAATGACTAATTTAATTTAAAACTTAATTTAAATAACGCACAGAGTATTTCTGAAATATGGGGTCCGACATAGCCTAATGGTTGTAAGGCACTCGACTAAAAAACTTAGGGTCGCGGGATCAGAACCCGTCGTTGAACATGCTCACCCTTTAAGCCATTGGGGCTTTATGATGTTACGCTCAATGGCTACTTCTCATTAGTGAAGAGTAGCCCAAGAGTTGGCGGTAGGTAGTGTTAACTAGCTGCTTTCACTCTAGTCTATCACTTCAAAATTAAGGACGACTATTAAGGAGGCCCGACATGGCCAGGTGGTTAGGGCGCTCGACTCGCAATCAGAGGGTCGTGGGTTCGAATCCCAGTCCCACGAAACATGCTCGCCTTTCAGCCGTGGGGGCGTTATAATGTGACGACCAATCCCCCTATTCCTTGGTAAAAGAGTAGCCCAAGAGTTGGCGGTGGGTGGTGATGACTAGCTGCCTTCCCTCTATTCTTACACTGCTAAATTAGGGACTGCTAGCGCATATAGCCCTCGTGTAGCTTTGCGCGAAAATTCAACCAACCAATCTCTGAAATGAAGTAACTCTTAATTAGAACACAGAATACATTTAAGAAATATTATTACTATAAAAACATACAGAATATTTGTTTTGTTGCTAAGCGAAATGCGTTATCTACGCTGTGCCCATCGCAGGGATCTAACCCTGAATTTTACCATTATAAACTCTTAAGCTTGCCTGTGAATCACCACAGTAGAGGGACACAAAACTTATGCTTTTTATCTTACATGAAATACTTTTATAAAACTATTGATTCTTAATAAACTAAAAGCTTGTATCCCAAACCTGGTAACGATAACTGAACACGTCCAAACCTGTTAGCAACAACTGAAACACGTAGAAGTTTATAAGATTTTATGTTATACGTTGTTCCCGTCACATAGTTTGTTTATCCTCTTGACGTTATTACTTGCTTGAGACAAAATGTAGTGGTGAAAAACAAAACAAAAATCTGACAACATAACATGAAAAAAAAGACTAATAAGTTACTGAAATACTTCCAAAAAAATTCAAATTTATATCCCTGACATTCACTTGCTAACTAAATAAAGAAACAATTTATTCATATGTATAAGTATGTGTTTTTTTTTAGAAGTATATTGGGTGCTGGAGACAATGCAGCCGCTGGTAACAGGATTATCATAACTAAATGTTGAAGACCCGCACTTCATATCATAGAATTTCGAAAAACCAGCTTATATATGTCACTAATTTCCAAACCAGTCTTTTCTAGGAGGGGAGGGGAAGCACAGACACATAATTTATATTCAGGATATTAAGAGCGTTCTCACATTTGAACATTTACGTGATAACTGATTACTTTGAGTCCTTATAGCGAAAGGCAATCATTCGAGTATAAATGCTATTTTTGTTCATTAAATCATTAATTTACCTAAGACAAAATTCCGTGGTGAGGTAATGTATTAAAAGCTACAGAAGTAAGCTTGAATAGATATAAAATCCTTAAGAATTCATTTTTTTATCTTTAAAGAGTACTTTACTATTTATTAACAGCTTAAAATAAAAACATTATAGGCGTAGAAATCATATCTTATCATATATCAAAAACTTAGGCCTAATAATGAAAGGCTTACTGATGACGGCATTTCTAAATTTTTGTTAAACAATCATGAGTTTTGATAATGTTTGTCATTAGTCTTATTCGTCATGTTTTCATACTAGAATATGATAATATATAACAACTTAAACTTATCATTAAATACTCTTCGCGACCACGTTTATTGACATTGAAACAGTATCTGCTAACAAAACTTCTCAGACAATGTAAGCAATGGCTGAAAAAGTGAATAACTAATTTAAAATTGTCAGTACATCTCTAAGAACAACTGTTAGATTATCTTAGGTTATATATACGTTAATCTTGCTAGTTCCGGTCTCGGTTTACGTAAGGTACTTAACATAATTCTAATCAAATTAACAAATTCACATTTATGGTAAGCAGCCATGGCGGACAAAGTATACTTAAACTATTTACAGAAGTTTATATGATAATTAAAATGTTGAGAAATAAACCATCACAGATTGATCACATGAAACAAATATCTAAACGTTTTAAAACAAATCTTCAACAAAAATGTTAGTTTATTTTAATGCACATTCGTGTAATTGTATACAGAACACAATCGGTGCATATGTACGTTCTCACGTAATTTGATAATTACATATATATACATAAAATAGTCAGTTATGGCGAACACATTCCTGGTTTTAAAATCACTAAGTCATAGAGAAATGTTGAAGATTTTATTATTCTCTCTAAAAAAATTTAACATTTTCTCAGTCTGCGTTTTAAAAATCAGAATGTAATATTTACGTTAAAAATAACACATTGTATTTTATTTCTACTTATATATACTTTATACACGTAACTGGTAACTTAGAAACAGGGAAGTTATAAGTTTAGAATATAGATAAACAGTATGTTAAAACCTGTTGCAGTCGTAATAACCAGAGTTTGCTAGCCTAACCGGATAACTTGTTGAACCGCCAGTGAATTCAACTTGACAGCTCGGGTTACTAGAGGATTCGGTGGTCAACAGTCGTTGTGATTCGAACATTTCTCGGACACAGGGAATCCCGTTAACCGTTGAGAAGGCATCAACGGGTAATGCTTGACTGACGGAGACGGTAGGATCTGATGAAGAGTACCAAGAGTTGGAAACTGACAAAGATTGACCAGTCGACGAGTAGGAGTTCTGGTCTGGTATTAGGGAAAATAAGTTGTTGCTAGTACTGATACAATGACCCGTAGTTGACCCTGTAATATTGCTAAGTCCACCTGCGTTGTTTAGGTTTTCAAGTACCGAGCACAAGCTATTATTGTCCGATTGATACATACACGGTGACGCCGCACAACTGTAGCCCATCGTCTGTTGTGAGCTGTTACAGGCAGAAAAATCGCTTATCACACCGCAAGGATACATGGTTTTGCGACTGAAAGTCTTAATAAAACCTCCATTTTGGGCTATGGAACTCATCATACCAGTAGATGTGTCCACGGAGGAAACGGCGCGCATGGGTGATTGCTCTCTGGGTGACATCAAGGTGTTCACCACTGAGTGGTTGCGAGCGCACGTAGTATCCAAAGTATCGTCCGACAGAACGTTTCCAAGTGACGCGGAACTAATTAAGAAACTATTCAGTTTAGTTTTAAACTTATAGTCTTTATGCTGCATACAAGACGGAAGGCCGAAGTCTTCCAGCGGCTCGGATTTTGACGTATTTTTAAACATTTTTTTATCGCTGGTTGGAGAGCCGGACCTTCCAGGCGAGTTAGTTTGTACACGAGACGCCTCGACCACTATACTACTACCTTCGCTGGTCGAGTTGTTATTGCTAGAATTCATACAGTAATTTGTTTTGAAAGCAAGATCGGTCTGATTTGGTTGAGTTTTCTTTAACCCTTTCCTTTGTTCTCTGTTTCTGAACACCGGATTTTCTTCTTTTGACCCACCTTTCTGAGGTTTAAGTTGCTTCTTCTTGGGTTCTTCACTGCCTTCTTTTCCATGAAACGATTCCTTTTTCTTAAACCTTCGGCGTCTACGAAGATAACTTCCATTGTCAAACATATTTGAACTGTCCGGATCTAACGTCCAGTAGCTGCCCTTCCCTGGCTTATTGTCATCACGGGGAACTTTCAGAAAACATTCATTTAAGCTTAAGTTATGCCTAATGCTGTTTTGCCAACCTTGTTTGTTTTCACGGTAAAATGGAAACCGGTCCATTATAAACTGGTAAATCCCATTCAATGTTATTTTCTTTTCAGGAGCGTTTTGTATTGCCATAGCGATGAGAGCGATGTAAGAATAAGGTGGTTTGACCATGTCTTTTGCGGGGAAGAGCGATGGGTGTTGTGACAAGGAAGAACTATAGGGCGATTTGTATCCTGAATGACGTATCACTGAATTTGAATATTGGTCAGGTAAAATTTGTTGCTGGTTCGTGTAAGTAGGGACAACTCCACTGTTCGTGTAAGTAGGGACAACTCCACTGTTTGTGTAATTAGGGACAACTCCACCACTTGAATGCATCATGGAATTTACTGCCATAGTCGGGTATCTGCTGTAATGGTAATAATTCTGTTGCTCTCCATACAGGGGATGCATCGTTAATAAAACCAGTTTTTAACAAAACAGTTACATAAGATTCTGGTTTAAATATTTTTAAGCACTAACTCACTTTTTCTGCCACGTTTTCACGTGTTCTCCTGCAGTTTGCCGCTGGGATTACGTGTTTATGACGCTTTCTACGACTCGTGCATGCAACATGTGAGACAACTCCAAAACTACTAGTAAAAAAACGATTCCAGAATCGTCACCTTAATTCACTGGTGAATATTACATTGATATCGACTGACGCTTCGCCATTGCTTTACTGGGAGGTTGGTGAACAGACTTCTCGGCCACAGCGAAGAGTCCGACGCGGCTTTGAAGTCGGTCGGCTGCAGCGTCATCTTGTCAGCCGGCGAGTTGTTGATATTGTTGAGCCTGAACCTTGCGGCACCACGTCTCTCCTCCTCTTTCCACCCCTCGCCTGTTAGGTAGCCAATGATTGCAGAGTTCACGGTCTGAACGTGTAAAATGGCATAGAGTATTTTATGCTACTTCTCCACGGGCAACAACGTGACTGAACGTACCAGAAAGTGAAAGTTATGTAATGTAAACCTAACCAGCAAGGCATTATAGATAAAAAGAATGGACTAACCCATAAATCCGTAACAAGTTTTCCATCAGACTTGATAAGCTTAATTATTCAGAACTGTATTATTGGTTGTAAAATATTGATAATAGAAACGCATGTATCGCCAAACTTTCTATACAAACATACACCATTTAAACATTTTATTTTCAGGTTCAAGTTTTAAAGCTTGAAAGGTGACAGATATGTCAGTTACAAACTAGAAATATCTGTAATATATGCATCTAGAAAATTACAAGACTCAACCCTTTAACAGTATATAAAATGTCGACAATTACGTTTGGTATTTTTCTGTATATTTACATTTTTAAAACATCTTATGGTTCAGCGAGCTACTTTTGACAATATAGCTATTTTTACTAATAAAAGACCAGGGCTACAAATCTAACTCTTTCTTTAATAATAAAGGTTTAGGGGTTTAAATTAGTCTATTAAGTATTTGTATTTTTCTCCTACTAAATAGAGAAATGTCACATTAACATAACCTTTCGTTATTATAAAGATTTTGAGCATAGATAAGATTCTTCAGTATTTGTAGTTTTCTCCTACTCAGTAGAAAAATGCGATTTGAAATGTTACATTCATTCGCCTCAGTTTTGTTCTGTGTTTAATAAAAACCCAACTCTTACTTTTCGTGAATTCTCATTTTTTGTAAACATATATTTACATTAATACTTTAGTTAAACTATTCCTACAGTTTTTATTATTATTATTTTATTTATTTACACGCACACATTTCTTTCGAATATATTGTTAAGGTTTACGACACTCAAGTATAACATAAATACAAAAAATACAACAGTGTCAGAAACGTTATGTGTACGTCTTTATATGGATTTTCGGATCAAAGGATAAGCAAACTATTAGGTGTATGGAAATAATGATTTAATTCTTTACCACATTATATATCAAAACTAAGGAAATATTGTATTTAGTAAAAGGCGACAAACAAAGTTTTCTTTATAATGCATTTAGGTAGATAAAATATCCATAGATATGACAGTTGAAATAATACATTCTTGATATAAAGGATGTCTGGACATTGCGTTAAATCTTTGAAGGGCAAGTAAACAATTTTGTTAATGTAACTTCCGAACACTGTATTTTTATATACTTCCGGACACCGTATTTTTATATACTTCCGGACGCTATATTTTTATATACTTCCGGACACTGTATTTTTATACAGTTGTTATTGAGTTGTATTCATTTAACTAAATTTCACAAAAAAAATGGATTAGAATAAATAACAATGGAACTTACTACTAAAACCTGAACCTGACATTAATACAATTGTTTATTAATAAATGAGTGTTTTCTACTTAGTATATCTGTTTTGATTAATACCCGCCATGTAAGTATCTGTTCTTTGTGGGAATTTTTAAATCTCCACTAACACCGTCTTATCAACTGAAAGAAAGTGTCAAATCTGCAACTTCCGCTACCCTTAATCTTCTGAGACAACAATTAGGCTGAAACATACTTTACCTCAGTTACATTATCAAAAACAATCTTAATTAAAGGAACCAAGAGTTAAGATATGCTAAATACACATCACAAGATCACAAATCATTATGTTTAAATATAAATTCTTGTAAACATATAGAATTTATGGGGCATTGAAAACTCCTTCAGAATAGTCAGTAGTTTGATTTTGTAACTTTATAATGTTTGAAAGTTATTTTGCTTTAATAAATACGAAAACTATTAACAGGGAACTCACTCATAAATGCTGTTTTATTAAATAGTCTCCTTTTTGAATATAGTATTATAAAGGAAATGTTTATCGTGTTTTCATAAGCTATAGAAATATTTACCAAAAAGTAGATTTTATTAACAAAAATGAAGCCCATAACATGTCATAGATAAAATATAGAATATAGAGGGAGCCACAAATAAATATTGTTAACTGCGAGGATAATCAACTGGTGGAATAATGCATTCTGATTTTTATAGATAGAAACGTAAGAAACACATGTGTATTTGATTAGTTATACTTATTGCCAGGTTGATTTTTACTTTCGCTGTAAGCATATACTTTCTTTCATCGAAAGTAATATTGATTGATACAATCAGAAGACTAATTATCATGTACATTATATGTATTTAATTGAAATATAAATAACCATGCAAAATTTGTAATACATTTTGCACCAGCCAGAAACGTTGCGTCACGTGGTCATGTGACTCGCTGACGCAACAATACTATCCCTTGATCTTGTGAATTTGTGTGCTTTCATAGAGCACGTTGCACGCGGATTAGGCGTAATTGATTTAAAAAGCTTTATGGCGTCAGTTGAAGTGACAGAAAACGCGCGAAGCAGTGAACTTAATCTCGTTCGCGGTGGCGAGAACAGCAGTATATGTGTAAAGAAGGCTTAATATCACCATTCAGACAAGTTCTTTCATGGCAGCATTAAAACATAAAGCTGCCTTCCCTTTTCTGCGCTTTCGTATTCGCTCAGAATTGACACCAAAGTAATTGTTGTCACTGAACTTGGTATGTACTAACAAACAAATGTGGATACAAATACTAAGTAGGTTAAACGGGTTTTATAATTAGCAGCACCTGCTGTTGATTGAAAATAATAAAACATAAAATAACACCAACAGCAAGAGATATGTTATACGTGGTGCATCCTTTTAGTATGTATTATATTTACTGAAATACATATGTTCTAACCATGGCTTTTGTTTTCTGAAATATATGTGTTTTAATCATTGTTTTTTTTTTAATTTCGTGATTTTTTTCAATTGTTATAATTTTGACATTTAGTCACGGTGTGTATATTAAATATTGATTCTGTATTTTTCAGTGCAGAAGAAATGGGTTGAAATTAACCCCCCGTTTTCCATATCCCCACAAGACAGTACAGTCACCTGCTCCTAATGGCAAGTGTTTAGTTTCTTACGTGAATATATAAAATTTATACAAATTTCAATACGTATTATGTAAAAGTTAGATACATCACAAAACATATTTCTGTAATGCTTATGTAATAACGGGAGTGAGGTCGACATAACATTAATTTATACATAATATCTACTCTCAGCTAAGTTATTGGAACTGCTGATCAACAGTTTTTGTATAAAATTGTAATATAGTAATCAATTTGAATTTACCGTTCTTTTCCTCAGTAACGCAACTATCAAAATCTAAAATTTTATAATATTCTACTCTTATCAGACGCGACGACACTTTTATCGTTTTAGTTAAATTATAAAACATTTCTATAAATTATTATCATTAGAAACCTTTGGGTTTAAACAAGGTCAAGAGACTTCTAGTATAAATAAACCATGTCATGTGCTTTAGAAACACCATCTTTAGTACTTATCATGATCAGTTTTTGTTTTATTGCTCTTTTTGATTTTTTAACTGTACAGTGAGGTTAATCTTATGTAAATGTTATGGGAGTGGATCATTAATAAGTAAAAGTTAAAATATAAGTAAAACGTTAATAGGCAGTTTATAAAAATAAATAAAAGCACGCTTATTTGAAATTATACTATTAAGATCTTAAATTGCAAGATCAAAGTTTATGGAAAATGTTTGTATAATCCTAATTATATTTCTAGTAATCTATACAAGTTTTCAATTGATATACGAAACTTTTGGCAGCTTTTCTCGGGTGTATGTATATCTCTTGAACATATCAACTTTCAAATGACCCGAGAAAGAAAAAAAATTAAGCATGCAACCTTGATTGCAATCACATAAGTTTGTTACACGTTGTAAGCACACTCTTTACAATAAACTTGAATATTATGTTATATTTTTATCTCATTGTCGAATAATGGCTTGTCTTCGAACAGGCCGCGAGTTTGAATAGAGTTCAAGAACTAGAATAAACCAACACACAAGTGAAGTTCCAACAACTTTTAGGATTGGTGAGAATGTATGGAAGTACTTTAACTTTTTCGAAATGATTTTCAGTAGCTTGAAGCTTTGTACTGTCAGTTACGGTTTGTGTTTTAGTAGTTCGATCTTGAAGAAGCTGTAAAGCAAAACGTTGAGTGTCCAATTAAAGAAAAACAAAACATTTGATGTTATAAGGTCGTTTATTTCTAGTATTAACTTAAACATTTTTCAGTTGCCACTTTAACTCTTTAAACTTTCTTACGTTTTAATTCAGGTACTTTTCACTTTTAGGTCGTCAAGAAATTAATGTCTCGTTATTTAGATGAAAAAACCCGAACAACTTATATATTAAAACTAAACATTTATTAAATGAAATAGTCTCCATTCTTATCGGTGACGCTTTTCCATCTTACAACCAGGTTGTTAATGCCCTGATTAAAGAAATCACTTAGCTTTGAAGCAAAAAACATGTCGTTGTCCTCTTTAACACCTTCCACATTTGCATACGTTTTCCCATTAAGATGGTGTTACAGCGAACGAAAAAGATGGTAATCTGATGGTGTCATATCTGGAGAATT